ATACGATGACAGAGGCTTCTATTTGTGTTCACGGCCTGTAACTTTTGAACTCAAGAATGATTGGCTTGTGATTACCCAAACAGTCCTGAATCTTCCAATTTTAATATGATTTTGCACACCCCCCATAGTAGTTAGGGTTGATAAGTAAAGGATCATACAATTGTGTACTAACATAATGTCAGGGAAGTGAAAACCCCAATATTAAATTTTTTCTCTTTTCTTCCCGTCTCGCAATCCCTTCTCAGCCCACATATGAGCAGCCAGCTCACCTCCTGAGAGTAATGCGCCCAGACCTACCTTCGTAGCCCAGATTGCAGACGCACTCAAAGTCGTTGACCTTTCTGGATGCAGCTGGAGGTTCCCGCCGGGTGGCAGGGCATGCTCAGACACTCGTTGATGTCGCCCTCGCAGCGCTGGCCGACGTAGCCTGCCGGGCAGTCGCAGGTGAAGCTGCCGATCAGGTCCCGGCAGGTGCCGTCGTGAAGCACGCCCCCGAGAAGCAGTCGTTGTTGTTGATCTGGCAGTTTATGCCTGTGAAATTGCGAGAGGCCCAAACAGGTTACGTTAATAACCCTAACCTTCCCACATCCTCCAAAAGCCTCTTTGCAAAATGGGAGGATTTTGCAGGATCGAGGCTATAGGGCCAAAACGTGTGGCTGATTTCGGAGGATGGACGGTGTGAAGGTCTTAGACCGAACCTTGCACTATTTATGCTCAGCCATGCATAAATTTAGGCCTACATTATACTTAAAATGCTCCACACTGCTCCAGGATGTTACATGCTCTGACTCAACATATTGACAGTGATTCCTGGAGGAATTTGCAGGATTGAGGTAGTGGTCACCCCTCCAAGTACCTCATTGAGGCTGTATGCAATTTTTACATGGAGGCAGTTGGAGGATTTTGCGGGATTGAGATTGCATCCTAGCGAAAATGCCTAGATAGTTTAGGGTAAAGGTACTCAAGTACAGATGGACATCGTACGTCCAAAATGCAGACAAAGTTAAATATCATTGAAGAGTGTCAAGATGTCAATCCGCGAAAGAAAGAGCAATAAGTTCAGAGATGCTACTAGGTCAAAGGTCAGGGGTCAATGCGCTCACCTTCAGTGCCAGACTTGCAGGAGCAGCTGTAGGAATTGACCAGGTCGTGGCAGACGCCGCCGTGCATGCACGGAGAGCTGGCGCACTCGTCCACGTTGTTCTCGCAGTTCAGTCCCTCAAAGCCCTGCCACACAGGAACAGCTGCAAGACAAAAAGTCAGACATTGTTTCCACATTCCAGTAGCAGATTCGTCAAGTTCCAGCGTCAGATCCAAGATGAAATTCAACTCTGTGTTCTTGTGGATACAGCCTCAGTTTGTTATGAAAAATAATTTTGGTAAAGGCCAAGGTTTGGCCGTTGCAACTTAGAACCCTGTTGTATCTTTATGTTGCAACAATAATTCTACATCCACTACAAGAAGGATGTCTATTCACTGCTCAATGTAGTTCTTACTTTAAATTTAACCAATTTTATAAAATAAATTAGTGGCAAGTAATATTGCATCTAGTGGCTCTTATTTACGTTTTTTTCATGAAAGTCTTACTCACTACTGAAACAAAAACTTCAAAAGAAAAAAAAAACATTTTCATTACCTTAAGGTCACTCGAGGTTTTACCCGAGGTAACCCAAAAAAACCTGTTAAACCTTGTAACTCGAGGTTTTACCCTGAGGTAACCCACAAAACCCAGTTAAACCTCCTAAAACCTCGGGGTAAACCTCCAGTTACCGCTCTTTAATTTTGCATTCTCCTCTAAGTGTTTTAGATAGCTGATGATTGTCAAAAGCACAAATCCACCGTTTGGTAATGCAGCACCTGTTAGAGCCAAAGACCCTCACCATAAATCTCAGCGTTTTTTTTTTTTAAGTGTTTTTTTTTTTAAGTAGCAGCCCAAAACAAACCTCAGTGGACGTCTACAATTTCAGGAAAAAATGCCAAGAATTCAGAAAAAAATAACCACCGACTCTGTTTTAAATTTGAGGCGTGCCTACCTGTACTCATTAACTCCGTCACGGCAGGTCCCCCCATTCTGACAGGGCGCCGACGCACACTCCCGTATGTTGGTCTCGCAGTAGCTTCCCCGGAAACCGGGCAGGCACTGGCATATGTGGCTGTTGCCGTGGGTCTGGCAGGTGCCGCCATTGAGGCACAGGTTCTCTACTGTCACGCCTGCGAGAGGAAACAGAGCACATCAACCACGGAGATCACATGGGATGCCTGAATGGATGGGTTGTAATTACTTTTCCCCCAGAATTACCGTTTTTAAGATATTTTCCAGGTGAAATAAGCCGTCTCTTAGGAATGCACTCTGCTGAAACGCACATTGGAGCGCTGTCGTCCAATGGTTACAGTATTCCACGCGCGTGCCATGGTACGTGAGTTCGAACCCTGGTGCTTGTGTTCTTAGGCAAGGCACTTTACTACAATTGCCTCTCGCCACCCAGGAGTATAAATGGGTACCTGCGAAGGTAGTGACCAGAATGCGCTGATCTCGAGCTGCAGCTAAAAATGCTCTCGTGGCCTGATGAACAGGGGTAATAATTGTGAAGCGTTTTGAGACCTTTGTATAAAAGCGCTATATAAGCACCACATCATTTATTAAAAAATGCCGGTTTGGCTGAGAAACAAAAATTTAAACGAGAAAAATTTAGAGCTGAGAAAGATTATTTCTCTTTGTGAAAATGTTAAGATGTTGGCTGTTGCTTTTAAAAGTTTGTCCCTGTTGCTTGCATATCATTCGACTGATTTGCATTTTTTTCATGAATCATTTTTTACTACTGCACAGTTCCCGATCAGACAAAATCTGCATGCCAATGACCAGCACAACACAATAAACTTGTTACAAATGTAAGGAATGTGGAAATATAACCGATATGAACTGAAAATAACCAAAAATATAGAAACAACTGCAGGCAATCGGTGCATTACACTGTGTGTAACGCAGAAACATCTGTCATCAAACTCAGTCTCCAGGCAAAAAAAAATGTATCGCAAAGTATGTTCCTACTGACTGGTACCCTGCTCAATATCACATGGAGTTCAAGGCAATATTTCCTGCCAAAGGCCTCCCCGGGCAATAGTGGATCCCAGAGGTAAATAGTTTACCTTTTCTGACGCGGCGACGTCGCAGGACACTTGGTGGACGTCGCACAGGGAACCGGCCCAGGCGCCCTCACATGTGCACGTATACCGGTTGTCGGTCTGCGTGCAGGTGGCCCCATTGGAGCAGGGGTTGATTTCACTGCTGCACCAGTCAACCAGATCCTGCGTGGGAAAAAAAAAGCAAAAAGAAACCCACTGACGACTGACTAACAATGAGGCACTGAGAGTAACTGGAGCATGGCCACTATAGAGTAGCGGTTGTATCATCTCTGATGGTGCAGTCAGGCGCGAAGTCATGAATACAGGGGATTTATTTGGGGAAGCCCGCATATTTCTGAGGGCAAGTCCGGGTCGGAAGTAATTGGAGCGACTGCCTGGGAAGTGATCAGCGTCGTGACTACAATGGACAGGTGGCCAGCGAACCACAGGCAAGCAGGCCGTGTGAAACAATGAGCGACAAAGTGACTATGTTTTTTTTTATGTGGCCGCGCTAAAGAAGTTACAAAACAACAATACATTGAAACTTGCCATATTTCTTAAGTATTGGACTCTACTCTACCCATTTTATCAGACTGCAAACATATTTTACAATGAAGCTAAAAAAATATATATTTGGGGAAAATGCCTTTTGTTCAGAGTCCTACATGTACATTGTACATCTTTTCAAAGCATTTTTTGTGCACGAGTTTAGAGGCAGGGGCACAACTTTAGCAATAGCCCGCTAGCCAAATGCTAGTCAAAACAGCGGCAGGCTAGTCAAACTATTCCTTAAGTAGCCCGGCTGGCGAGTCATAAATCATTGGGCTTTGGCAAAGATGAAAGGACGGGGAGAAAAATATATCATGAAATTCAGAAAGCAAACCGGTATCAATTTGTGTCTAATTTTACTGCTAAGGTTAAATTATTACATGTTTTTATTAAAAGCACTGACAAGATTGCCTAAGGAAAACACGTTTTACATGTATGCACACTGTTTGTTTATAAGACACTTTATAAAAGAAAAACATGTGAACTAGTGAAAATGCCTGCAGGCTAGTTAAGAGTCCGTTTTAGCAGCCCAGCTGGCTAGTGGGGAAAAAAAGTAAGGTCGAACCCTGTAAGTGGTCTTTCGAATTTTGTTTACAAAAATTGTTATCACAAGACAAATCAAAGGGACTAATTTCAGAGCACTCTGCAAACACTCTGGCGAAACATAAAACACAACTTTCCATGCAAAAATTAGAAGTAAAACCCATGCTTGACAGTTGTCTTCCAGTAGTATGCACCATATCAGCTAATGCAATGCAATGTTGGTCCATTGTCAAGCCAAGTAAACAGGTCAAAACAGACACTTTGTTTGACAACAATAGCTGAGCTACACATTGGATGCGCAGCTGCCGTGAAAATGCTTCAACCCAAATTAGAACTTCCGTTATTTTAAACTGGGTTTCTAAACTGGGTTTTAAAAGTGCTAGGTGCCAGCAAAAAAACATCTCGGCAAGGCTCGTTTACACAAGAGACAGTCCATTCACAGAAACGAGGTCATTCAAATCCCCGAGCCATCGCTCATGTCTGCTCCAGAAATGACAGTTAATAGATCACCAAGTTCAATTGAACATGCACAACATACTTGTATATTGTACATTGTTTCCTCGACACAAAGTCATTATTATAACCAAATATGGGAAACAGCTAACCCAGAAAATGTAACCCAGTTTTTTATACCCAAGTGATTCTCCATTCTGTTCCCATTATGTCAAAGCCAACTGGCGACAATGTAGCGAAGTCAATAAGTTGCAAAATGGTGAAGCAAGTTTCTTGATCGACCTTGCTCAAGGGTAGTCTGAGTATCACCCGTTATCCACGGAACCAAGTATTGTATAACATCCGATATGTCTAGACATGCAGATATATGCAAGCCACGCACCAGCAACTGGAGTCGACTTTTTACTAAATCGTGACGTCATTTCATTCCCAAATCAGGACTAAATGGTTTGATTGGTCAAATCGAATGTGCATTGTTTTTGTAATACAACAACAGCCGGCGCGATATCGCATAACATGATACAGAGCGCGGGACACATTTTTTTTTATCCATTGTCTATGATGCGCAATGGGTGAATGACCGAAGACCCGGTATGGAAAGCGCCCGCTGATTGGTCAAAATCTAGGATGTCAAGAGGCGGGGTCTTGACTAATTATTCAACGAATCTGTTCACGCATAATAGCCCATGGCTTTCGCCATGGTCTATTACATAGATTAGCTCAAGGTACCGACAAGATAGAAAAAACAAAGGCTCCAATGTGTAACAGATCTTTCATTTCCGCCACTTTGAGTCCAAAATGCAGCGCAGATAATTTCAAAACAGAGCCCACCAATAAACCCATTGACCACAACTGCGTGGTATAACCGAGGTTGGCACCTCAGTCGTACAGATTGACATGCCTTCTTCAAAATTAAGTTACACGTACGCATTCATTTTTGGCAAGGCAAGGCATCACAGAGTTTCACACACAAGACTTGCGTACAGGCAAGGTTCCAACTCAGTCCAAGGCTTTAAATTGTGGTTGCCAGATTAGTCTGTAACTTGATCACATTCAATAAGGGCCCGTGACCATTCAGCCCTGGTATGAAGAGGCCCCCCCCCAGTCCCTCGTCCAGTCCAGAGCCAGTCCGCTTTTCAGCCCAGTCTCATCCAGTTCATGGGCCTGTCTGTCCAGAAGTTTTGAAATCAGTCAGGTGCATCAATTTATTACCCTTAAGAGAACGTCCAGGAAGAACATCAGAAGAGTTATCGGATTAAAGATAAAATCCTTCCAAACGCCTTGTTAATTTACAGTCTCATTGTGCGCGAAACCGCATGGCAGGGGTTTGATCTGTGCCGATGAAAGTGTTCTATTGTTTCGCACTGAGAGATGAAACCACAAGCGGGTTTCTTCTGGGATATATCACATGTGTCAATACTTGCAAACAATTGACCCAGGGATAGAGCAGTTTCTGATCAGCCATCGGACCAGCTCCTAGACCGGTAACTGGGCTGGTACGAAAAGGACATTTTGGGCGGGGACGAGCTTATCGGGGGGCCCTTTTCATACCAGGGCTGAATGGTCACGGGCCCAAAACTTACCTGGCAGTTCTCCCCAAGGTAGCCCAGCACACAGTTGCAGGTGTAGTAGCCTGTATGGTCCACGCAGTGGCCCCGTTCTGGCAGAGGTTGGAGCTGCACTCGTCCACCTGTATTGGCAGTTGGGGCCGACGTGGCCAGGTGTGCAGTGACAGGTGTATTCATTGACTCCATCGATGCATGTACCTCCATACAGACAAGAGCTTGGACAGGAAGAAGACATGTTTTTTTTCAATTAAAAAAAAGTCTCTCACACAAAAACTATTATGGTATACAGGGGAATAAATTCTCAACCTTTCAATTTTTTGCGACAAAGCAAACCAACATTTTAAAAAACACACAAACTTTGCAATGTACGATGTGAACAATTCTCAAGGTTATTATAATAGGTTATAATACAGGTGCTAACAGGTTAAACCACATTTCCTCTTGATTCTTTTCAATTTTTTTTCCAGACTTATGCACTTCACATCTGCAAACATCTTAAACCCCTCCCCCCCCCAAAAAAAACATTTGTGCTATCTAGTCTGGTTCCCCAGTTTACCTCTCAGTGCAGTCCATGTCGTTGGTCTGGCAGTAGACTCCGCTGTAACCCAGCGTGCAGGCGCAGGTGAAGCTGGAGACGTAGTCATGGCAGGTGGCGCCGTTCCGGCACGGGATGGACTCACACTCGTCTGTGTCCCGTCTCGCAGTTCTTGCCCGTAAAGCCCGGCAGGCACGCGCAGGTGTAGTCGTTGGTCTTGTCAAAGCAGGCCGCGCCGTTCTGGCAAGGGTCTGGGAGAAAGAAAAATTGAATGCATAAATTGACTCGTACAAAACTAAGGAAGTTTAAATGACAAAATCTGACTAACTAAGTGCTCCAAAGTAGGCACTGGCTTTCTGGAGAAATTGAGGGCACTATTTTGAGCTGGTAAACTCTTTTATTTACCCAAATTTACCCATTCCAAGTAACGCCTGCTTATTGTGTCTGCCGTATCTCAAAAAAGTTGACTTGACTGCTGAGTATATTGCGCTATTGCACTGGGAAAATTAATGCACATTGATGACTTTGCTAAACATTTAAAATTCCGAGTTACTTTAATATTTCACCTTTTGGAAAAGTTGTTGGGGTTCACACCTGTTTCAACTCCTAGCCTGCCTCTTTTTTTTTGTAAGGGAAGTGGAATATGAGGTAATGATCAATCTGTTCCGAATCTCTCCTATAGAAAGCTGCATGCCATGAAGGCAAGCTGCTTTTCCGTTCTCCATTCTTGCAATACAAACACACAACTTCACCAAAATGGTTCCATAACGCAGTGCATCAATCTGTAGGTTGCAAATTGTTTTTTTTGTTTTTTTGCATTAAACTCACCAGACTCGCATTCATCGATGTTGGTTATGCAGTCCTGACCGCCGAATCTGGGGGACAGATGCACTCATAGGAACCAAAGGTGTTGTTGCAGATTGCACCGTTGTGGCAGGGCGGGTACTCACCGCACTCGTCAATATCTCGGTTGCAGAATTCACCTGTATGTATGGGATAATTGATTTTGAAATTTGACATCTAGAAAACAGGGTGCAATATGAAAAAAGGTTAATACAGCGTTTTAATTTTTTTTACCCTAATTGAGGAAAGAATGTTGGATCCTGACGCCACTTTTTTTTCATCATATATTATCTCGGTGAAGGTCAGTCATTGCAAACAAAGTTTGAAAGACATGAATTTAGGACTGAGGAACATTTCCAATTTCGAAAATACTTTGCAAATGCACTTGACTCTTCGTCGACTTTGTATACAACCAAAGAAGTGGCATCTGAATATTATATTCTTTCCCTGTTTGAAACCATATCAACATCAAAACACACTCCTTTTAGGTTGCACTTTAATTGTAGGCATATCCAGACCCCAGAAAAACAGAAATGTTTTTTTTGCACCAACTAGTCCAAATTTGAAGTGCTGTAGAAAGGTGAGGTTGTACAGTGCTGATGGCACAATGTTGTAGTTTCAACACAACAAGTTACCACAGCTGTTGCGTGCTCAGGTGCCATAGGGTACAGTAGTGAGTACCCTGGCTAGAGTAACGGTTCTGTTTACCTGTGTAGCCATTTGGACAGCTGCAGAAGTATCCATTTAACTGGGGAACGGTTCGCATGTAGCCCGTTCTCACATTGGTGGTTCTCGCAAGGTTGCAGCAGGTCCTCGCAAACCTCCCCGGTATACGGCGGGATGCAGACGCACTCAAACGAGTTGACCGCGTCGATGCAGGTCCCGTTGTTGCGGCAAGGGTACCCCACGCAGTCGTCGACGTTGCTCTCGCAGTTGGTGCCCGCGTAGCCCTCGGGACACTCGCAGACGTAGTAGTCCAGGCCGCTGGCGCAGCGGCCGCCGTGCTGACAGGGGTTGGAGGCGCACTCGTCGATGTCGGCATTGCAGCGGGGCCCGCCGTAGCCCCGCACGCACTCGCAGGCGTACTCATTGACGCCGTCCTGGCAGGTGCCGCCGTTTGAGCAGGGCGAGCTCTCACACTCGTTAATGCTTGAAAAGCAGAGGGCGTCGTGGTAGCCCGAGGGGCAGGTGCAGATGAACTTGTTGATGTCGTCGTGGCAGGTGCCCCCGTTGGCGCAAGGGTTGGAGGCACACTCGTCTATGTTGACCTCACAGAGTAGTCCCTCATAACCTGCCAGACACTCGCATTCATATCCGTTGATTAATCGTTACACAATCCACCATTCTGACATGGGTTGGACGAGCACTCGTAAGTGTTTATGGAACAAGTGGCACCTGTAACAAAACGTTAGTGATTAGTTTTGTGAGAAATCAAATTTGCAAGCAAGAAAATTATTCACAACATTTGTTGTACTCCTCCTCACATTACTTTGGCCTTCCAGAATCCAAACACTTCCAAACTGCTAATTCATGAATAGGGGAAGATTTCGCTTTATTGTTTTTCAAAGCGTCTGGCATTTCAAGCCTTCCCCAAAATATATATGGAGCACGCTACAACTGCTTCCATGAAAGTCTTTTGCTGACAGGCTTTGTGCAGGGGAAGGTGTGTCACAAAACAACCACTAGATGACCTACGCTCCTCAATGGAACTTGCTTCATATTACACCAAGGTTTGGTATTTTTTCAGTGATCTTACCAGTGGTCCCTGGGGCACAGACGCACTGGTAGGCCCCAACCAGGCCGATGCAGGTCCCGCCGTTCTGGCAGGGCTCGTCCAGGCACTCGTCAATCTGGTTCTCGCACAGCCGGCCCTCGTAGCCCAAGTTGCAGATGCAGGTGAAGCCGTTGAGGGCATCCTGGCAGCGGCCGTTGAAGCAGGAGTCTTGCTGGCAATCGTCGTAGTCAGTCTCGCAGTCCACGCCAGTGTAGCCTGCAGGACAGGGGAGAAAAAAAACCGACGCATACATAACCTTGGCTGGGACTTCTCAAGGGTAGCAGTTGCATCCCTAGCAGTGCATTTTTGTTTCATCGGGGATGGATAATGAGTTATTGCCAAAAAAACTGTCTACGCCAGATACGTAAATGACATTCTTACAGAATGCCTCTTAGGAGACCCACTAACCGGGTTCCCGAGTAAAAAAAAAACCATCAAGCTGGCAAGTATTCGTCCCTTAGTATTAGTCAGCTAAGGAGGCTGGCCTAACAAATCATACTTGACGATTCTGATGCCAAATCAACCTCTGCCTGATTTTCTTAGGAAGTAAGCTAAAATTGCCATTCGCAAAATTACTGTGCTAAACAAAAACAAAATCAGCTGAGAAGCAGTCACAATCAATACACGTCTGATGGATTCTGTAGCTGGTAACATGCAAATAAGCAGATATTTTTTTTTTTCTGTGCTAAGCTGATGTCTATGCTTACCTGGTAGACAACTGCATGTGTACTGATTGGCACCGTCTAGGCACGTTCCCCCGTTCTGGCAGGGGTCCGAGACGCACTCATTGATGTTCGCCTCGCAGCGGGCCCCGGTGTAACCTTCCAGACAGTTGCACTGATACCGGCCCACCTTGTTCAGGCAGAAAACCGTCGTTTAGGCAAGGGTTACTCGCGCACTCATCGATGTCGGTTTCGCAGTAGACACCTGTGTAGCCTGCAAGGTCAAGATCAGAAAGGGAAAAAATCAGATATTTGGAAGAAGTAAAAAAAAAAAAAAGAGTATCTGCTGAAGTCAATGCAAGACGTATCACACTAATTTCAACTTGCGAGGTGCAACGTTCTATGTGGTCTTGGTCCTGAAATTCAAAGAGGAAAAAAAACAGTTTTCTTCAGACTAAGGCTTAAAAGTGTGGTATAGGATTTAGTCTTCAAAGCAGCATGTCAAAAGTCAGAATATTCTGGCTCGTTTTTGAACACTCATTTTGAGTAAGTCAGTACATTCCCAACGGAAGAAAGCCGATGGTTGTGGAAGAATGTTTCACCCCCCCTTCCGTTGCTTATAAGGAAAGCAGCATTCCTATTATGTTTCCATCTGGGCCAAACTAAGTTTGCTTATGTACTCATACAATGAAAAAGATGAGGTCAGCTATCCAGAACATTTGCCACAGTTTGCTTCGCTCGTCTCTGCCTCAGTTTCTCACCTCTGACACAGACGCAATTGAACATCCGGCCAGGTTGAGGCAGGTGCCCCCATTGACGCAAGGAGTGGATGCACACTCGTCGATGTCCACCTCACAGCGCAACCCGCTGTAACCGGGTGCGCAGTTGCAGTAAAAAGCTCCCACGGTATTGACGCACTCACTGCCATGTCCACTTTCGCAGGGATCTGTGGAGAAAACAAAAAAAATTCCTTAGTTTAAAACCCTCAGTACATACTTTTTTTTAGGGAGGAAGCGCATTCAAACCGCTCCTCTGGAGAGACGGCTTTTGCTGTGGTGATTTTGAAATATGTTAAGTACTTTAGTCAAAGGTATGTGATTTTGAGGTTTAGGCGAGGTTACTTTTAGGCTCACAAAATGGTCACTGTGAGGTTCAAAATGGTCACTGTGGGGTACCAAAATGGTCACTGTTGGGTTTCCAAATAGTCACTGCGAGGTTACCAAATGGTCACTGTTAGTGGACCATGGTCACTGTGAGGTTCCCAAATGGTTACTGTGAGGTTCCTTAATGGTCAACGTGGTTCCTAAATGGTCACCCTGAGGTTCCTAAATGTTCACTGTGTGTGGTTCCCAAATGTTCACTTCAAGATTCCAATGTGGTCAGATGTGAGCTCGGGTTACCGTTATATAAATGTCATCTGTGAGGTTCCTCAATGAGATAACGGTGATGATTCCAAATAGTCACTATGAAGCTTAGTTCAGTGCGAGGTTTCCATGTAATCGCTGTGAGGTTCTACTTTGGAAAGCCAATGTGAGGTTTCACCTAGTTCCAATAGGCCACCTGAGAAGTGTTACAAACACAACTATGTTGACTCACCATACTCGCACTCGTCGATATCAATTGAGCAGTCGCTCCCTGTAAGACCGCCAGGACAGTGACAGACAGCGTCACCGGTGCCAGGGTTGGTGTCACAGGTGGATGAGGCAGCACAGGGGCTGCTGATGCAGGCATCCTCAAGATGACAATACAATCCTGAAGGTACAATCAGAACTTCTTTAACCCTAATGACCAATGCACTTTTACCAGAAACCTTTCTTAGTTCTATAAAAAAGATGTTAAGCCACATTTTTGGAGGCATGCTGTCTAAGGTTTCAAATGACTAGGTTTAGATAGCAATATGAACCTCATTAAAACTCTTTCACCAAAGCTTTTAAAACTTCATCAACAAAGTCTTACGTAAGTTGTAAACCGGTATACATTGAAAATAACTTTTATAACCACATTTTGCTGATCGCTTCTTAAAGGAGAAGAAGCTCATGCTCCCCTCCCACTTCTCTTTACAATGCTGCTAAAATGACAGAATGTTTTCCTGATCTGTTTTTTTTTTTGACGAAGAGAGAAACTCCAGTGGTCTTACCAGTGTAGCCAGCAGCACAGATGCACCTGAAGCTGGCCACGGCATCTTCACATGTGGCGCCATTTTCGCAAGGAGTCGTTTCACAGGCGTCCACATCGTGCTCGCAGTGATCCCCCTCAAAGCCGTAGACGCACATGCACTGGTAGCCTGGGGCGTTGTTGCGGCAGGTGGCGCCATTCCTGCACAGGTTTGGCTGCAGCGTGCACTCGTCCACGTCGTCTGTGCAAAGCTCGCCTGTGTGGAGAGAAGAAACAACCAAATCGGACCAGGTGGGGTCAATCTAGACTGAGTAGACGTACGGTACATGTAAACAGGGCGGGATTACTTTTGGCCAAAAAACACCATTTTTCAAACTATGTCGGGCCAAGTTTAAAATGAAGCCAAACACCACAGATACTGACTCTGGAGAGTCATTTGTTCAATATTTGTACCATACTTCTCACCCAAACATTCCAAGGCCCTGCACGGAGCGATATTTGTAACCACGACAGGCCGTGTAAAGCAGCCGAGATCAAGTTCAACACATGGTGTGTACAAGGTGTCAACAGGTTAACTAAAACTTTTGAGAGGAAGCTCAAGTTATAACCAGAGGCTCAAGTTATTGTTGTCTTCTCACTGATCGTGTTCTTCAGCGATTTAAAACCTTGTAGATCAGGGGTTGGTTGGTGGGGGGCAGGGCTTACCTGTGTATTCCGGGGCGCAACTGCAGGTGTAGGAGTCAATACCATCGATGCATAATCCTCCATTCGTGCACTGATGCATGATGCAATCGTCGATGTTGGTTTCGCACTGAGTCCCAGTGTAACCTTCCAAAAGCAAAGCACAACCAATCAGGATTTATCAAAAAATGTGAAGACGGTCTGACTAACCAAAATGATCCCAACTCAAATCATCTTATAAGTGTTAGTGGACCATGGTCACTGTGAGGTTCCCAAATGGTTACTGTGAGGTTCCTTAATGGTCAACGTGGTTTCCTAAATGGTCACCCTGAGGTTCCTAATGTTCACTGTGTGTGGTTCCAAATGTTCACTTCAAGATTCCAATGTGGTCAGATGTGAGCTCGGGTTACCGTTATATAAATGTCATCTGTGAGGTTCCTCAATGAGATAACGGTGATGATTCCAAATAGTCACTATGAAGCTTAGTTCAGTGCGAGGTTTCCATGTAATCGCTGTGAGGTTCTACTTTGGAAAGCCAATGTGAGGTTTCACCTAGTTCCAATAGGCCACCTGAGAAGTGTTACAAACACAACTATGTTGACTCACCATACTCGCACTCGTCGATATCAATTGAGCAGTCGCTCCCTGTAAGACCGCCGGGACAGTGACAGACAGCGTCACCGGTGCCAGGTTGGTGTCACAGGTGGATGAGGCAGCACAGGGGCTGCTGATGCAGGCATCCTCAAGATGACAATACAATCCTGAAGGGTTACAATCAGAAACTTCTTTAACCCTAATGACCAATGCACTTTTACCAGAAACCTTTCTTAGTTCTATAAAAAAAGATGTTAAGCCACATTTTTGGAGGCATGCTGTCTAAGGTTTCAAATGACTAGGTTTAGATAGCAATATGAACCTCATTAAACTCTTTCACCAAAGCTTTTAAAACTTCATCAACAAAGTCTTACGTAAGTTGTAAACCGGTATACATTGAAAATAACTTTTATAACCACATTTTGCTGATCGCTTCTTAAAGGAGAAGAAGCTCATGCTCCCCTCCCACTTCTCTTTACAATGCTGCTAAAATGACAGAATGTTTTCCTGATCTGTTTTTTTTTTTGACGAAGAGAGAACTCCAGTGGTCTTACCAGTGTAGCCAGCAGCACAGATGCACCTGAAGCTGGCCACGGCATCTTCACATGTGGCGCCATTTTCGCAAGGAGTCGTTTCACAGGCGTCCACATCGTGCTCGCAGTGATCCCCCTCAAGAGCCGTAGACGCACATGCACTGGTAGCCTGGGCGTTGTTGCGGCAGGTGGCGCCATTCCTGCACAGGTTTGGCTGCAGCGTGCACTCGTCCACGTCGTCTGTGCAAAGCTCGCCTGTGTGGGAGAAGAAAAACAACCAAATCGGACCAGGTGGGGTCAATCTAGACTGAGTAGACGTACGGTACATGTAAACAGGGCGGGATTACTTTTGGCCAAAAAACACCATTTTTCAAACTATGTCGGGCCAAGTTTAAAATGAAGCCAAACACCACAGATACTGACTCTGGAGAGTCATTTGTTCAATATTTGTACCATACTTCTCACCAAAACATTCCAAGGCCCTGCCACGGAGCGATATTGTAACCACGACAGGCCGTGTAAAGCAGCCGAGATCAAGTTCAACACATGGTGTGTACAAGGTGTCAACAGGTTACTAAAACTTTTGAGAGGAAGCTCAAGTTATAACCAGAGGCTCAAGTTATTGTTGTCTTCTCACTGATCGTGTTCTTCAGCGATTTAAAACCTTGTAGATCAGGGGTTGGTTGGGTGGGGGGCAGGGCTTACCTGTGTATTCCGGGGCGCAACTGCAGGTGTAGGAGTCAATACCATCGATGCATAATCTCCATTCGTGCACTGATGCATGATGCAATCGTCGATGTTGGTTTCGCACTGGTCCCAGTGTAACCTTCCAAAAGCAAAGCACAACCAAATCAGGATTTATCAAAAAATGTGAAGACGGTCTGACTAACCAAAATGATCCCAACTCAAATCATCTTATACCTGTTCAAAATTTATACCAAAAATAAATAAACAACTAAAATATACACAACGGTATTACATCTCTTTTTTTCACGCAATGTCGTGTTTCTGTCGTTTCAAGTATTGTTAAGGGTGTTCTGCATACAGCGGCAATGGAATTCAAGCAGCACTCGTCTCCATTTTACATGTACTTTCACTACACACATGCACAGCATAGAAGATTATAAAAAATGGAAATCGTTCACTAAACTTACCTGCAGGACAGATGCACTCATGGGAGTACATGCCAATGGGTTGCACTCGCCCCCGTTCCGGCAGGGATTGGGCCGCATGGGGTATAGATGGACTCGCAGCGCCGACCCGTGTAGCCCTGCGAGCAGGTACAGATGAAAGAGCCAACCAGATTCCCGCAGGTGCCGCGTTGTGGCAGGCCGTCACCTCGCCGTGCACTCGTTGATGTCGATGTCGCAGTGCGTGCCCCGGTAGTAGATGGTGCAGCTGCAGTTGTAGCCTGTGGCGTGTGAGTTGCAGGTGGCCCCGTTCTTGCAAGGGTTCCCCACGCAGTGGTCAGTCATGGTACAGTTTCTTCCTACAAGCGGGAAGAAACGTTGAAAACAGTGTTTCATTTCGCCTTAACACCATCAAAAGATTTTAACAGTGTTAATCACAGGGGAGGACTTGATTTCACCTACGCCACAAAGGCAGGCTGGGGAGTGGCATTGAATTTGTACTGTACATGTGAAAATATAACACTGAATTCAGTTGATAGCAGATCAAAGGTCAAAGGGATAATAACGTGCTGGCTGTTCACTGACTCTGTATCTGAGTGAGGCTGTGGCTTAAGTGGGAATTGTTTTCAATGGCTACAGCCATTCAACCGTAGTGCACAAATGGCATAAACGTAGCCATATCTAGGCACAGCCTGAGATGTCTGGGCAGTGTGGGGCTGCTAAAGAACCCTCCTGTAAAGCCCTCACTACAGGCACATGGTTATAGTTACGGTCACGGCTATGAAAACCATGGCCAGAGCCACAAAATACCGTTTGCGAACACAGCCTGAGATATTTAGGCATTGCAGGGAGAACTAAAAACACACACCTGTAAAGCCCTCACTGCATGCACAGGTGTAGTCGTCCACCGAGCCCCGCAGGTTGCAGCGGGCCGCCGTTCTGGCAGGGCTGCTCGTCCCTGCAGACGTTGGCCAACTCCAGCTCACACAGGGAGTTGGTCCAGCCCACGTCGCACAGGCAGGAGAAAGTGGGCTGGGAATCGCCATCTGTAGGCTCACTATTTGGCAGGTGCTCCGTTCAGGCAACGATTGTGGCGGCAAGGGTTGTCATACTCGCAGCTAGCGCCGAAGTGAGTGTCGGGACATCTAGGAATAAAAGTAAACATTGGTCAGACCTGAGGATTTTTTGGTATTCGGGCCTTTTTGGTAGAGGTTGTACGGGATCTGAGCGGCAACAACAGGGCAGTTTTTTTCCCACGTTGGAGAGCCCAAGCATACTTGTTCACGTGAGTATAGCACAGAGTACGCACGACCGATGTGCACAAAACCACGTAGTGTCTTCGTGTGAGAATACAGGCGTCGCCGGCATTCGAATGTCTCTCCCTGTGGTCTCCCCAAACTCTCCCTCTCCTTACCGTTGAGGGGGTACTTGTGCACGGAGCCCATACCATCAAGACATGTCCCACAACTATAAGGAACTTGGGGAGCAGACTAGGTATTTTAATGGACACCGTGTATACAGGGACAGCCATCACCCTCAAGCATCTGAATTGATTGGGGATGTGCCCAATAATAGTTCTACAGTCCCCATCTGTAGTTTGACTTGGAATGCAATTTCCAATAATCAGTGTTTCAACGATTTAATTCATTTGATGCACTGGGCAGTTTTTTGACAAAGTATCTTCGATATCACTTCAGAAAAGAAATTTTATGTTTGATATTTTTTTTCACACAACCATTTCCAAGTTTTCCCTCAATTCCCACTTATTTACTGTTCCCCTCTTCCTAGGAACAAACCCTTGCACAGATCCCCCCCCCCACCAAAAAAAATGTGATGAACTCAATTTACAAGCTGAGTTGTGATCATGTGACGGACATTGTAGAAATTGGACAACTTCCACTTTTATTTGTACAACCAAAAATTGTCAGGTAACTGTGGCTTGTTTTGGGAACGAACACATTAGGGAAAGCAAAGGAACAAAACTGAAAGTGTCAAAAGGACCCAACACTTTTCAACGGTTATTCTCACACAGTCCTTCATCTGTCTGCACAGACAACTCGCTTTGTTAAATCATCATTGTAACCTAATAGGATGAGTAATATTGAGATTATTCAACATTGTCAAGTGATTGATGGTTTGCAAGAGCAAAACAAAACTATCATCATGAACAGAATGAATAACACTACAAATATTTCACACTGTGAAACAGAAGGTCAAATATCTCAACCCGGACTAGTGCTTAATCTTACGTAAAATAACAAAGCGTAGGTGCAGACAAAGCAGACAACCAACAACCCATCAGGGGTATTTCTTTACAGGATCCAACAGTTGGGAACCCAAAAAATAAAGAACCCATGATATTAAGAGCTAACAGCCATGAAACACTCCAAAGCAAATCCGCACCACAAAGCAGAGAGATCTCGCCGTAAGACCCACGCGAATCTAGCTCAACGTCCCATGGTAAAGAGTGCCTGGGGTTTTTAATACACCGCAGACAGAAGGGTTATTCCTAATCTCTTCATTGTGGCCAGCTTCTTTTCTTTCTTTTTTCGTTGAGGCTTATTATCGCGGTATTCGCCGGTTCAACAAGCTCAGGACTTGTAGGGTTTCGTCCGGGATAATGAGGGTGTATTGTTGCTTGGCGAGACAGA